CAGCACCCTCGGCGTTTATCTTCCTCTTCTGTAGAAGTGCGCTGGCCGTTTTTAACACACTTAGCTATGCTCGTTAAAAACGTGCAGTAGCATTTGCTCGGCAGTTAAGGATACATATTCAAGACTTAATTGTGGATGAAATATTCATTCCAGTAATTGTAGTGACTTCTACTACTAGTTATTAGCATAAATATTGTGAAACCCTGACTCCTTAAGTTAACCACAGAAATTGCTGGACCTTGCTGAGCAACTATGAAGACCCAACTTTTGCACCTCAATGCGCTGCTGTTGTCTAGCTCTGATTTAACCATATAGCAAACTAGTTAGTTTCTTATGCAGCTGAGCATGCCCTGAGATGCATGCTTCCACCCTGAAGAGGAGGCTTTGAACCATTGTTCAGACTCCCTTGAGTGGTGAGATGAAAACTAATATTGAAAGTTTGCTGAGCAACTATGAAGACCCAACTTTTGCACCTCAATGCGCTGCTGTTGTCTAGCTCTGATTTAACCATATAGCAAACTAGTTAGTTTCTTATGCAGCTGAGCATGCCCTGAGATGCATGCTTCCACCCTGAAGAGGAGGCTTTGAACCATTGTTCAGACTCCCTTGAGTGGTGAGATGAAAACTAATATTGAAAGTGACTGTTGCAGCAGCACTCCTATTTTCTGGTAGGAGGTACACAAGAGATGCCATTCTTAGGTCTGAAGGAGAGAGAATATTACTGTGCTGATTATGCATCATATTATGTTTACCCTTAAGACCTTGCAACAGCAGAGCTGTACCATTGCATCTGCCTCACAGCAGGTACATAGGAGACCATACAATATTGTCATTGCCAACCTGAGAGAGCTCTTCCCCCTGAATAATTAAACCACCTCCAGTGTGTACATGGCACTTTTCTCAGTGTGCAAGGTCAGGGATATGTTTTTCCATAATCTTAAGTGATAAAGTAAAAGTGCTGAAGTGTAGGTATCTTCCCCAACACATGAGATCATAACTTTAGTGTAGCATGACCACCAAGGTCAACTCGCCAGGGTTCCATAGGAATAAGCACCATTGATTGATTATATTTAATTCTGTATAACAGCCTAGACTTTCTGAAAAGGTTTCTTTAAAATTTAAGTCTGGTAATTCTTAAATTCTCAAATATTCAGAATTCAAGAAAATTTGACAAATTTTGAAAATTTGTCCCTTAAGTGTGTATATAAAAAAGAAATCTTGTAACAGTTTGTAGCAAGAACTAATCTCATTACTGTGAAAGCTACACTCTTGGCCTGAAGTGACCCTCTCTGAGAGAGGTGGCTATGAACCCAGGGTTTATAACTTGGCACTGTACTTTAGTGGATTGCCATGAAGTCTATCCTAAATAAGTAATAGTGCTGTTGTCCTGGTTATAAAGGAGAAACAGGAGGGTGGCTATTTGAGAGAAGAGAAAAAATATCTGTTGTCATGTTTTTTTCTCAGATGTGTGCTGAACCTAATTAAATAGAGGAAAATCTTTGTCACAAGGAGTGACTGACTACTTTGGGTACAGGGATGTGGTCATTTCACATTCTGACAATAGTACTTTACCTTCTATTTTAAAGGAGCATATTGCACCAGGGAAAATTTGAAGTATAGATAACTTCTACATTTTATGGATTAGTGTATCGTAAGATGCATTTGTTAAGCTTTCTTTGGTGCATATGACTTTGGGTAAACAGACTGTTTGTCCACAGGTTGGTAATATTTTAAACCTGTGGTGCTTGTACTTTACCTTTGGAATTGACTGTGTGAAGGTTGTTAATAACTAATTTATCTCCCCAACTCCTTTAATAGGAAACCGATTCAAAATACCATACAAGAAAACATGAACCACGTTTCTAGCTTTCATTTGGAAACTAAGCGTCTGCAAACTAATACAGGAGACTTTTCTTCTCTCATTGCTACAAACCTGAAAGCAGACAGACTAAACTTTCTCTACATTCCACAACATAGGCTGCACTCCCTTTTTCTGTTGAAATAACTAGGTCATGAGTTTCTCCCTGTAATAATTACACTTGGGTGTGTAGATGCTGTAACTAGTGTAGCTCTTAATGTGTTTTTGCTCTATTTAAGTGGTAGGAATCTTTTGCTACGCTTCTCTGAAATGGCTTTCTGGTTTCAGCTAAAAAGGAATTCTGAGTTCTATCGGCAGAAAGATGTGGCAGATACATGTCCTGGCAACAACTTCAGTCAGTAGCCAAGGATTTAACCACATACCTTACACAGTCTATCATGCCCTGCAGTGGATTTCAAGCTTCAGTAAAGGAAAGAGAAACAGCTAGACATGTTTCTAAAACATAAAGAATCTAGAAATCATTATGGAGTCTGGACAAAGCTTTTGTAGAACTCCTGCGTCAATCTACAGTGAAAGCTGTTGTCTGGGACAAATCCTGCAGCAACTGGTTAGCTGGTTCAATTGCTTATCTTGAAACTAGGATTAATATTTAAATGCTAGTTCAAATATAATCAGCCTTAGTTTAAATGTGATCAGAGGTTCTTGCCCATATCATAATTGGAATTTGATTGGTAAGCAACTATCTGATCAGCCAGCTATTATGGTAGGGAGTTCAGTGGAGAGTTAAGGTTTTGGTCCTTCCCAGAAGTCTTAAAACATTCAGATTACAACTTTTAAAATTTTCCGTTTTTCAGTTAGTCAGGTAAGAGAGGGACTTAAGATAAGCACATTACATAGATGTTAGTGCTGCAGAGTGAAATGTTTAAAGCGGACAAATTTCTGTAAGCTACAAGTTATGGTTGAAAGACCAATTTGGATGAATGGTGCTTAATGCCTTACATAGTTTTCTGAGGGTAGATAGCTGCTGCAGTTTACATGTTGAGGAGTGAAATTGAAGGAAATGAAACCAAAATGCCCAAGGGAAACCTTGAAACAACAAAAATTCTCCTCAGACTTTAAATTGGGGTAAATTTACCTGAAAAAAATCTCCATTGACTGATTTGGGATTAGTTCTTATGGGCGCTTAGTGTAGATATGGTTACAGCTTGTCTTGCTTTCAAAGTGTTCACAGTGCATCTCCACCTGCAGAACTGGTTTTTTAGGCGTACTTCACTTTAGTTGCAGTAAATCCCATGCTAAATTTAAGTTTCCATTAGTGTTAGTACAGCCTTGCAGTCAAAGGACAAAGGATAGTTAGTGGGTAATGGCAGTTGTAATGAGCCATAAATGCAGTATTTTTTGGTCCATGATTTCTCGTATCTAACCGTTATGAATTTATGCTCCCAGTCTGGTCTTCTGCACAAGAAGAAAAACCTTCAAAAAGGACAATACTGTAGGATCATGTTTCTGAACACAATCCAAATTAGAAACCCTTTCTAATACTTTCCATTGGTCTCATTATTCAGATGTCCGGTATGTAAATGCATGTTTCAAGCAATCTCTTCTGAATATATGAATCAGTCTGGTTTAACTGATTTCAGACTGATCCTGGCTAGTGTGCAAGTTTCTTCACCAGAATGGATTTATAGAGCTAAATACATAAAACTGTAGGATTTTTGTTGAATACTAATAGGGGTGTAAGCAGATAGTTGACACTAGTCCCTTGACTAATTGCTTCCCCCCACCTCCTTGATGCTTCTATGAGAGGCAGCGGGGGGGGGGGGGAGGGGAGGAGGAGCAGGGCCTGGTGCTGTGGGGGGAACTAGCTTAAAAGACAGTTTTCCCCCAGCACCATCTCTGCAGGAGGTAGAGGCATAGCAGGAAATGACATGAGCAGGTGCTAAAGCAGTCTCTGCTCATGCTGCTTCTACTGTAATTCTGCTTTTTAAATGTACAAGAGCCCCAATGGCTTCATTTCAAAAGCTGAGGCTGCACAGGGAGTGGGGGGCCAGTCCCCTGCTGACCCCATCCTCCCTGAGGGGTTTCTGCTTTTGAACTGTAGCAAGAGCCCAACAGGGCTCTTGCTACAGTGCAAAAGTAGAGGCCCCTTATAAACTAATCAAATAGTCGATGGAAAGCCCATTGATTATTTGTTTAGTTAGTTTAAAATTAGTTTCCTTATAATACTACATCTGTCAAATGGTGTAAACCGACAACTGTAAGCTTTCGATGGCAGTCCAGGGCCTTGAGCAATACTGGTCATTATTGGCAACAATATAGAATCTGATGACCTCAGTATAGTGTTCAGAAAGAAGAATTTTGTTTAGAATTTAGTCTGTGAAATTACTGGAAACTAGCTGTTGTCTGTAAGTATGCAGAGATGTCCTGTCCTTATGGCTATTTTCTAAATTTGGTTTGATACATACACCCCAAGACACACCTAAATCTGTACGGAGTACAATATAATAAATAGT